GCATAACAACGGTAAAAAGGAAAATTTTTGTGCCCCGTTTTATAACGGTTAATTTATTGCAAAAAAAAGCAAGCTAAAATGTTGCAATTGCGGAAGCAATTACCCGGCTTTTTAACAAGCGTGCCCCGCAGCAAAAAAAGAAATTAAAAAAGCCAAAAAACGCGTTTTTAAACCGGCCGAAATAATTTGCTTTGGAAATAAAAAACGAACGCGCATTTTAACCAAACCAAACAAGCTAACCGGCCGCTTTTACCCTTTCCTTTTCCGCATTTATCCGCCCCCCGTTTAGCCCTTTTTAGCCGTTATATATATATATATAAATTTATTTACCCTTTTCGAGCTGTATAGCCCATGGGGAGCATTACGGATCGGGGTAATTATTTAAAAGTAAAAACCGTGCTTCCAGCCAATAGCTATTTAGTGTAAAGCCGGGTAAAAATTCCTTTTTTTCGAAATATTTTTTATTTCGCGTCGTTTTTGTAAATAATTATTTGTAAAATGTTTTTTGCATTTCCAAACGTTTGGTAAAAAAAAAATTATTATTATTCGAAACGAAATATCGTGGTTTGGTTGGAAATTAATTCGTTTGTTGCATTTAAATTGCGTTATTGGGTGTACGTTTTTGTACTAATTTAAAGCTTTTCCGTTGCTTTTTCCTTTTTTGTTAATTTTAGCAAATGGGTTAATATATTGCGGCCTTTTTTGCCTTTTTTTTTTCCAATCCTTTACGCAATTTTACCAAAAAAATACCATTAGCAATTGCAAAATAGCAATAATAATAACCGTTGTAAATTTTTTTTTTTAGCTTTTATTATTTCGCAATTTATTTAACGTTTAATCGTAAAACCGTACATTTTTAACGCTTTATTAATATTTCGCTTTGGCTTTTCGCAATTTGCAATTGCATTATAACGCTTAAAAAAAAGGGTAGCACAAAAAGGTTTGCTTTATTTTTTTTCGAAATAACGGGCAATTCCAAAAAGCGCAAAGCCCGTTATTTGTATGTAATTTTTTTTACATTTTTGCAATTTTCCGTTAACCCATTTTAATATTTTTAGCAATTTAACCAATTGCATTACGTGCATGCGCATAATGGCCCGCAAAATTAACCTTAATAAAGTTTGCATGCAAAATTTTAATAAATTTTTTTCGTCGTTTTTTTTAATTTTGTTTTTCCGGATATTTTGTTAATAAATTGCTTTGGTTTAAATTTTAAATCGAAAAAATGTATATATTGTTATTCAAAAAAAAAGGCTAGCAAAAACGAACAATGCATTTTTGCGCTGGAAAAAAGCGTTTTGGAATCGGGCTAACGTATGCTTAACGCTGCGGAAAAGCTTAAATTCGTAGGTTTTGCTTTTATTGCCAATAATAGCTTTACGAACCGCAAAAAGCATTACGTTTGGGCGTTTAACTTTACGGGCAAAGTAAAAGCTATAAATTTTTTTTTTGCTTTATCGTATCCTTTACGTTTTCGGTGCGTTACTAATATTTTAAACAGGATTAAAAGGTTTGGCTTTTCCAATACGAACGTTGCGCTTACGCCAAATTTAAAGCCGTTTGCAAAGCGTATTTCCCGGACAATACCCCGGCCCCGGTAAAGCTTTCCCGTTATTTTGCGGGAAATTCCAAAATTAAAGCTTGCCGCAATATTATTATTGCCGACATTTTTATTAAAATATTTTTTATATTTAATATTGCTTTTAACTATTTTTAAATTGGGCGTAACGGGTTTAACAATTTTACGTTAATAAATTGCGTTAAAATTTATACGCGGAACGTTCGATTTTGTTAAAATATTTACGCCCAATTTTACAATAACGTTACCGAATTTTTTAATTGTTATAATAAATATTTCGAAAAGGTTATTTTTGCCGATTTTTTGCAAATTGGTAATGGCAACGGTAACGGTAAAAATAATAAAGTAACAAATAACTTTTTTTCGGTAATTAATAGTTTTGCGGTTAAATTTAAAAAAAAAACGATGCGGCTGGTTTTTAATTTATTAATAAATTTGGTTAGGGTAAGGTTGCGGGTTTAACCGGGATTGTTGCAGCGGCAACGGGGGCGGTAAAAAGGGTATTGGCGGCATTTAAAGTAGCAATTAAAAAGGTAACCGTTGCTGCATTTCCTTTCCTTTTTTAAACGCTTTCCCGCAATTTTAACAAATTTAATTTCGGTTTTAAGGATAAAAGCGATAACATAACCGTTTAAACGTTATATACCTGGCGATTCGGATTTTTTATATTTGGGATTTTAAAAACAATTTGCGGCGACTTGCTTTTACGGGCGTAAATAAATTTCCGCTTTTTAGCGTTAAAATAAAAGGCTGCGTTGTTTTGCTTGTTGGTATATAATGTTATTAATAATTAATAAAATTGTTGGAAAGTTTTTTCGACGAAGTTTAATGTGGGTTTGGCTTTTTAAAACCGAAGCGGTTAAACTTTTTGTTTTTTTTCCGAATTTGCCGCTTTGTTACAACGTTTAACGTTTTTTTGTTTTTTCCTTTTCTTTTTCGCTTTTTCCGTTTACGTATCGATAATATCGCTTAACAAAGCGTAATTAAAAAACCGTTTTATTTTTATAAACCATTTTGTAACAATTGCTGCTTCGTTTAGCTAATTTAACAAGGATTTTGCCGCTTTTTTTATTGCTTAAAAAAGTTTTTTTCTTTATTTTTGCAAATTCGGGCAATATAGCAATACGTGTGCTACCGTTTCCGGATTTTAACCGCATTAATACGTTGCGGCCACGCTAAGGACTTTCCGGAAAGCTAAATAACCCCGAAACCTTAACCTTTCCGTTTTTAGCTAAATTAATAACAAGCTTTGGGTTTTGTAAAGGTTGCGGTAAAAGCTTAAAATTTTTTTGTTAAATTGCTTTTTGTTAGCTTTAGCGCCCTTTTTAATTGCCGTAACGTAATTGTGCTACTTTTTTTTTACTTTTCCAGCATTGCTATTTTCGGGTTCGATTTTCCGATTTAATTTAGCGCTTTTTCCCGTTAACGGAATAACCGCATAATTGCAGCCGTAAGCTTTCGCTTTTTATTTTTTAATTTTCGCTGTACCTTTTTGCAAATATTCGCAATTTTTTTCGCCAAACCGCCTTTTTTTAATTTTTTTTAAAATGGGTAACGCAACCATTTAATTATATTTGGATTAAGGCTACATGCATTTTTAATTCCAATAATTTTTATAAGGTTTTTTTGTAAGCCCCCGTTATTATTTCTAAGCAATTGTTTTGCGTTTTTGCCCATGCTTTAGCCATTTTTTTAAACCGCAACGGGGTGGCGTTAAATTTATAATAAGCCGGGGCCGCGTAATTTAATGTTGCTTTAATTACGGCTAAATATAAATATTTGGTTTTGGTAAACGTGGGTTTCCACGTTGTTATTGCTAAACGCGTAATAAATAGCATTTGGGTTGCCATTTTTTCGCGCATTTTTTGGATATGCTAGGTTTAATTTAATTTAAAATTAATTTAAAGGCTTAATATTTGCATTGCTTTTTTTATTGTTTTTGGTTTTACCGTAACCTTTTCGAAATGGAAAGGTAGCGTTAGCGCGGGTTTTTTCCTTTTTGTTAGCCAAATTAATTGGTATTTGGCCGGGTTAAACTTTATTCCAAATTTTTTTGCTTATTTTAAGCATACGTTATAGGCGGTTTTAAATTTATTGGTTGCATTTATTGCGTTGCGGTTAAAGCTAATTAAATTAATGTTATTTGCAAATTCCGTAATTGCAACCCCTTTTACTTTCCGTAGCTATTTGTATAAATTTACCGTATAAATAATAAAAAGGATAAATAATATTGGGAATTTTTGCGGTATTCCGCATGGAATTTTATTTTTTGCCGTATTTTTGCCGTTAAAAAAAAATATTGTTTTTTAATTGCTTAAAAAGTTTTTAAAAAAATTTAAAATCTATTATAAAAATTGGTATTTTTTTATTTCGTTAAAAAGGCGTATATGCAATACGGTATTAAAAGCGGCGTTTATGTTAAATAATAAAAAATTAACTATTGCTTTCGCGTTTTAAACCGTATTTACCATTTTTGTAAATAAGCGCATAGCCGTTTCCGTAAATTTGTATTATCGGTTGCCCATTTATTCGTTAAAAAGTAATTAATAGCTTTTTGCGGCGTTTTTAATGTAAAACGCTAAAAAATTTTCCAACGCTTTTTTTATTGTTTTTAAAAAAGCAATTAGCTTTTACGCGTTTAAAGTATTTGGGTTTTTATTAAATTTTTGGAAAATAATGGTACGAAATTTCCAAAACCTTTTTGGAAAGTAACCGCGATTTACGCATGCCGTAAATATTTTTGCCAATGCTTCGAAAAGTGCCGGTTTTATTGCTAACAATTCCCCGGTAAAAATTCCCGTTAAGCTTGGGGCTTTTTAATGTTTTATATTTCGAAAGGTTTTTTTTACGTTTTTTGCGGTAATTTTTTTGCAAACAAGCAAAGGTTAAAAAAGTGGTTTGGAATGTTTGGGGATATTGGTAATGTTTACCGTTAATATGGGGAAAAATTTCCTTTTTAAAATTGTTTTTTTCGCTTTTTTTGTTGCCGTTACCTTTTTGCTTAATAATTTTAACAACGGGAATAACGGGGGGGAAAAAAATTGGTAACTTTTGTATTTTGCCCATTTAGCAATGGTTTACATGCTTTTGGCGTTTTATATAATGCTTGCTTCGTGCATTGCGGTACGTTACGTATACCTTTTTGTTATTTTAATAGCGTTTTTCCTTTTTTAATAGCTTTTTTTATTATTGCGTAATTAATTTCCAAACGGTTTGCTTTTTACGTTAATTCGGTTTGGTATTTGTTGCAAAGTAATTAAAAGATTTTTTTCGTTTATTAATTACAATTTCCGGCCTTTCCTTTTAGCTTTGGTACGGTTAGGTTGCAAATTTCCAATATTGCTTTTATAATATTGTTTATTTTTTCGTTAATTGCTTAAAGGTTAATAAATGGTTATAGCAAAAAAAGGATTTTGTTATTCGCTAAGAATTTAGCGAATTTTTTATCGATTTTTTTTTAATTTTAGCCTTTTAAAATTGGTGCGTAAAAGTTCGAAATGGTTTTTAGGATTGTAATTACCATTTCCATATGGTTATTGCTATTTTAATGCCATTTCGATGGCTATTAGGTCCTTAACTTTCCGGTAGCCCAAATTAAGTTAATAATGGTGTTTTTGCAATAAAGGGCGGATTTTGTCGCCGCGTTTCGGCAAATTATTAATTGCATGCTTTATAACTTTGCTAAACCGACCAATTTAAAAGCCCCCGCGTGCATTAATGCGTTTTTTAAGCGTTTTAATATTTATGCTTTATAATAAAGGTTAAAATTTTTTACTATTAAATTATTGCTTTTCGGTTCCTTTCCGGCAAATTTATTAATAAATATTATTTAATTTGTAATGGTTATGCTTTTTGGAAATGGGCAATAAACCGACCAAATCGTTATATTTTCGTTTTAAATGCTAATTATAACTTTGTACCAATCCGGTTTTGCTTTGTAATTTAAAATACGTAGCGTTAATTTAATATAAATAATTGCTTTAGTAATAAAAAAAAGGGGGGGAGCAAATTGTAATGGTAAAAAAAGGGAAAGCGCGTTGCTTTTTTTTGGCGGTTTTGGGGGGATTCCGGTGGGTTGCCGTATGGTTGCTGCAAAGTAAAATTATATATATATTGGATTAGCTTTTTCCCGGCCCATAACGGGGATTTAGCGTTTTTTTTCGAATTTTTTGGTAGCTTTTATATTGCCAATACGTTAAAGTTATTTCCTTTCGCTAATAATGCGTTAAATATTTCCGGTTTTTTCGCTACGTTCCATTAAAAAACCTTAAGCATTGGTTTTTTCGTTAAAAAGGTTTTTTTTTGCTTTTGGGGGGGGGGCGGTAACGTTAACGCTTCCTTTTTGTATAGCTAAATGCTAAAGGATTGTATATTATTGGATAATTGGAAAAGGGTAAGGCTTTTTTGGCTGGCTTTTTTTGTTATTTCCCGTAGCGGTAAAGAGGATGCGGGTATTGCCGGGGAAATGGGTTTCGTCGGGGGGGTTCGCGGGGGGGGGGGTGCGGGGGGAAAAAGGCTTTGAAATGCGTAAGCCCTAATTCTTTACAAACAGCGTAATAATTGCGTTTTTTCGTTTTGCCGTATGGAATTTTTTAAGCTTTTTTACAAATTATCCGGCCAATTTTAAAAAATTCCTTTTCCGTTTTGTAAGTAAAATCGGTTAAAAAAAAGGTAATTTTAATTTTGCGTTAATTTTGTTGCGTATAAAAATTTTTTCGGTTGGCAAAGTTATATTTCGAATTGTTATTGGTATTTAAAAAGAAATTGTTGCAAAAAGGCTATTGCTTTTTTTTGCTTAATCGGTTTTTTTTTGCTCCCGTATAAAAGTTGCTTTTTTTCGGGGTAAAAAGGGGGATTTTGCCCGCCCCGTTTCCAACGGCAATCCGGTTCGCAACGATTTTAAAATAAAAATTATTGGAATTTTGTAATAAGTAAATTTTGTAAGCCAAGCTTTTTTTTTGCGTTATTGGGTTTGCTTTCGTACCGGGCAATGTAAAAAGTAAAATGGGTATTTAATTTTATTGTACGGAATACAAAATGCCCCAAACATATTTTTCGGCAACTTTTTTGCTGTTTTTTTTTTTTTTATACCGTTTATCGTTGTATTTTTTTAATTTATACTACGCACACGCCGTAATTTGTTTATATTGCATGCTTTTATATCCCCAATTTAAATAGCGGTAATATTGCGCCGTGGTTAATTCGGGGTTAAAAGGTTGGCATTGGTATACCAACCCATCCTATCGAAAATAATCTTTTTACAAATTTATTGCGCTTTTTAAATTTGCAATTTAAAGCAACGCCGTTACCTTTTTTTTGTTACTTTTTTTTTTATAACAAAACGGTAACCCGTTCGATATTTCCATGCGGGTTTTTGGCGTTAAATGCTTTTATTAGCTTTAACCAATGTTTTGCTTTGTTTTTATTGTTAAAAAAAGGTTGGAATTTGCTGGTTAGTAAGCCCGTTATTATTAAAGCTATTATTAATTTGGTAATTTTTAAACCGTCCGTTTGTTTGGTTGTATTTTAAACTGCAAAGGGCGCGTATTACTATTAAAAGCACGGGCGAAACCGCCCGGCAAAAAGCGGGAAGCGTTAAATGCACGGGCGAAACCGCCCGGCAAAAAAAAAGGAAGGGGGCG